TAATCCATAGACCAAACTCAAAGTCCAACATCATTACAATATTGCTTCTTGACTCTTGTTATTAATTTGATTGTACTAAGTTCTTTATTGAGAACTGATAGTTGCAGCTAGCCAGGAAAGGGAGGTGGGGATATTATTGCATTTGGTTGGAAGAGGAGGAAGAGAGGGAAGGGAAGAAGGAAGGAAGGAAGGGAAGAAGGGAGGAAGGAAGGAAGGAAGGAAGGAAGGAAGGAAGGAAGGAAGGAAGGAAGGAAGGAAGGAAGGAAGGAAGGAAGGAAGGAAGGGAAAGGGGAGAGGAGGAGGGAAGAAGGAAGACAATGAAAGAAGGGAGAGAGAAAAGGAAAAGAAGATTAGGAAAAGGGGGAAAAGCTTAAAAGTTTGGCATTATTTCACTTTGAGTTTTTGCCAGAAATCTAAGAACATATAAGAAGACTATATAGTTCAGACCACTTCTAGAGCTAGGATTTTGGAACCTCCAGCTTCACAAAAATGCAAGAAAAGAGCAAAACAGAAGTGGCAGAAGAATAAGAGCACACACAGAGAAACGGTTTTTTTCCCCCATGGCACCAGTTTAAATATAGTTTAATAACAGCTCTGTGCACCATATGTAATAAAGCCCCTTACCATGACTAATGAGAATAATGCACTACATTTCATATTACTGATCTCTCCTGGGGACTTGAAAAAAAAAATACTCCTAACTGGATAACTATACTTATCTAAATACAAATCCTGTGTGCCAAATAGATAATGAAGGCAAATTTTCTTAAAAACAATCAAGTGAAAATAACTACCCCACCCAAAAAAATCTGTTATTGTCCTTTAGTCTTCCTAGACTAAGAAGAGACTTGAGAAAGCCAGGAATCAAGTTTGCCTCTGCCTTTACTTTTTTTGAGTAAAGTGACTTAATCCTATCAGATGTTTCGCCCTGCCGAATGCCTGTCTTATGTGCACTTTAAAATGGTATTTAAAATTTTCAAAATTCTTCCAACATGTGTATCCTTGTTCCCCCTAAAACTGGCCCAAACTGATGAGATTTTTTAAACACAGATGTCTGAAATTCTGTCTTTCCTAAAGACAAAATTTAGTACTGAAAACACTAAAGTTTACTGCTGAGGTAATATTCTTCTTTGGCAAACTCTTAATTTTCTTCCCTGAATTCTAGATACAAATCTAAAGCATGTCTTTCAAAATTAATGGCTCCTTGCTACAAATTATTGCTATTGTTGCTTGTATCCTGCCTCTACTCTCACAGTTCTCTGAAATTACTTACTACTTAACTTTTCCTGTGTTCTACATTTATAATAAGGTGTCCACTTTGCTTGTTCCGAAGAGAGTGAAGGTATCTCATTTCACTGTTATTCATATAACTCTGAACATTAGAAAACAAAACAGTAGGATACAAAGTATTTTCATGATCCACACACATAAAGGTAAGGTGAGTCAGTCTATCAAATGCAAAACAAACATTTATCATTTTATATGTTTTTATTGCTTATCAATTAACATTTTAAAGGCCAATAAACGTAGAAATATCTACTTATAAAACAACTGCTGTCATAACAAATCAGCCCCACATATGCTGCTACATTTCACTTATATATTTTTTTAAATTCATGTATTTGTTCACTTCATTAAAATGTGTTCATGTCATAAAAATACTTTTTATGATTTCTATGCTCATCGTGTAGAATGGTATGACTATTTCACTTGGGAATTTTTTTAAAAAACTTTTTTTGTTATTATTAGACAAGAGTACAAGTCATATAATAGTTCATAAATCAATAAGAAAATGGGGTTGAAGAACAGCAAGAAAAAATATTCCATATCATCAGAAAGAAAATATTAGGATTTTCTCACCAGAAGAATCCATGTAAAATATCCAGACACATTTACCGGCCATTCCATATGTCTTTGGTATCAAAATAAGTATTTCTTGTCAGTCAAGTCATAAAATTTTAGCCTCTGATTGTCTAAACTTACACCAGGTCTACCTTGTATATTACTTTGATGATCTTTCGTCAAAATGGTTTGATTATTCATTTAAACTCAGTAAGATGATGCTTTCAATTTCCTTTAACTGATTTTTTTAAAAGTGAAAAGCACTATCACACACAAAAAAGCATTATTATCACTCTTATAAGTGCCTGCAACCTCCTAATGACTTAATTACTAAAGGAGAGTGATAGGAAGACAGTAGGATAGAACCAATACTCATAAGTTTATAGTATAATAGTAAGAAAACAAAACACACTGAAAAGTAGTAGCCTCTAACACAGGGTTTCTTAACCTGTAGGTCTGTGGATAGATTTCAGGAAGATCTGTGAATTTGGATGGGGAAAAAATTAACATCTTTATTTTCACTAACTTCTAACTGAAATTTAGCATTTCCTTCTATTGTTAACTTTTTTTAAATTACTCATAAAAGTAGGGGTCCATAGGCTTCATCAGACTACCAAAGTGATCCATGATACACACACACACACACACACACACTCACAAACCCTTAAGAACTTCTGCTCCAACAAAACAAAGATAAATGATGATGGTTTTGTATATGCTTTCACAATAAAGCAATGATACTGGTTTCCATTAGTCACATCCCAAACTCTTGTTATGTTAGAATTTCACTACACATGTCTGTAAGGTTACTTTAAATGCTGGTTGAGATTGTGAGGCTGCACTCGTATTTTATCAGTCTTAAACATTACTATGAAAGTCGGCAAATATTAACAAAGTATGTAGGTGAATTCCCATAGTCCTTCAAACCAAGATTACTGTATCCATCTTACTTAAGCAAATCAAAATTCTTCTCCAAAAATGTACTTAATTATTTCACTTTATAAATAAGAGGGGGGAAAGTCCCCTTAAGAAATAAACATTTGAAATATCTGTGTATTCTTCTCATTGAGAATTTAACTAAAACATTAGTTTACTATCTTTCCTTCAAAATATGTACCAACCAAAAAAGTTGAATTGTTAACTCTGTGGTGGAATCTAATTCTCTCTATAACCTTTTTTTCAAAGATGGCGGTGTAAAGAGCGACTAATTATAATATGAAGATGGTGGCTCAGATTGAATTATGCAAACGTTGCTTCAAAATAACCAGATTGAATTTCAGTGCATTAAAGATGAACCTGTAAAGCTTGCCATTTTATGCCTAGTTCCAATGGTATTTGAGCATGTAGAGAGGGGATGACAGGTCCCAAATCATCCTTCTAAAGAAAGATTCTGAAACATAAACATCAGCTCTCACTGACAAAAACTCATTGGTCCCTGGGCTTTGCACCTGCATTTTGCACCATTACCCATACCCAAAAGAAGAAAAGTGTTCCTTGATGCCTACAACTAGGATTACGGGCATCAGGGGCCATCTTTGAAAAACTCATCCTTATTTTTCAAAGCAAGACATTCCAAAGATGTGCTTCTTTAAATGAAGAGGAAGGCTTTGGGAATAGAGGCAGAGGGAAATATTATACATATGGCAATTAAAATTCAATTTTAAGTGATTAATTTCCTCCAAAACCCTCAGGCTCAAGCTACATTTCATACAGTCATGCATATATGGATTTTATAAAAGAAAATTAATGTTTCTCATTTTTTCCAGTCAAAAATAAATGGCATGAAAAGTTTATGAATTATCATGCTAAAATGATTTCAATAAACTATATGGTGAAACAATTTCACTTGACATGTTGATTCCACAAGTAAAGACATTAGAAATTTTTCAATTAACTGGTTAATTTAGTTTTTTAAAAAATTCACATTATATTGAAATAATTTTCTTGGTATGATTTATATCTTCATTGAGGGTTAAAGTGTTAAGTTACATTATCTGTCAAATATACTTCAAGTCATATTTGAAATAACAATTACTCTTTCAGAAAAATAGAGGCAATTACATAAAAACATTCATTTCCAAAGTCACCAACTGTTGAAAGTTTCACAAGATGTCCAATTAAAGCAAAAAGTGGTTATTAGTGAAACACTAAAGCCAACTTTATTACTGTAGAAACTATTTACTTTGCCACTCCAAAAGGAAATCTGGAAACGCTCTGCAGATGTCATGATGTCAAAGAACTTTGGTGACAAACAAATTTTCCCTGTTTTCTCACTGATCTATATGTCAGTCCTCAAAGCAGAGGAATTTAAATTTAAATTTACTGCCACTTATTCATAATGTTTGGATACTTTTCAATACATCTTAATAAGCTTGTGTAATTCCAAGTGCCAAAACAATTACTTTAAAAAAAAAGCTGTCTTGGATAGGACATTAAAACACATCTCCCAGGTATGCTCAATATAAAGCTTTATTATATTCTTACATAATTCTCTGGTTGTCCTGCTTCTCCCACATGCTTCGAATTCATACCTTCTAACATTTCTTAAAACCAATTTGAATACTTCATTACAGGAAAAAGGCATATATACCTCGAAGGGAATATAGAAAGGTATCAGCCCAGTAGGCCTTAAAACCAATGCCTGAAAAATTCAAACTGAGCAAAAATAATCCGTGCTACCTTGTACTTTTTGCCTGCTCTCCTTTCCCAAGTGACCCTTAAAATGTTTTCAGCATTTTTTAACATCCACAAACTACCAACTACTTACATTCCAGTAAAAGAGAACCTCAAAATTCACCCCAAAAGTGACCTCGTTCACAGTGACTACAAGATGGCATTCGACATAAATGCGAGAAAACAGCTTATATGTCTGAGCTCCTCTGGTGAAGATCTTCCTAAGAAAGGAGTTTGTCTTTATTTGGGGAAATCAAAGACAAACAAAAAGAATTGCTTATGATCTTCCTCACCCACCATCACCCAATCTCCTTGTTTTGTTCTCTGCCTACAATTAAAGGAATTGTGTGTGTGACACACGACGCATACAAAAACAGTACACACCAACATCCACATGCCCCAGTGAAGCTCCCAGGGAGCTCACCAAAAGGCGAGCTGCTCTGCTGTGATATTCCTCCAATTTGCGTTGTTCCAGCCTGGAAGAATTCCAGGAACATCCCTTGAATAGGGAGGACAAGGAGATGGGGAAACAGGTCTGTCTGCACCCCTGTGGACTGATGTGCTGCTCAAGGTATTTCCCTTCCCGCCCCCACCCCCATCCCTGCACACACACACACAAAGACACACACAGACAAGCAGAGCCAGAATAATTCAAATAAGAGGCATATCTCCCCTCAAGAAAACTTGTCTTGGCCATAAGCCCTAGAGAAAGCATAGCAAAAATACTGTTTGGGGTGGAGGATGAAGCAAAGGAAGGGGGTATCTGAAGGGTGTGCCTATACACGCACACATACACATACACAAACACACACACATACACACACACACACACACATACACACACACACACACAAACACACGACACCCTCCTCCCCATCCTCTTACTTTTGGAGAATCTGAGGCAAGGCGGCCTGAGGCGCCGGTGGCGGCGGCGGCAGAGGTGGCGGCAGCAACGGCTGCTGCATTCCTCGGTGGCCCGGGGGTCCCAGGAGTCCTGGGGGGGCGGCGGTTGCGGAGGCAGCCAGGGTGCGGGCATCTCTGTCGGGTTGCTCGCGGCCGCTGGTCTCCGGCTCCTGGCTCATGGCTGCGGCCAGCACCATGCGGCGATAGACCGCCCGGGACGAAGCGGCGAGAGGCGAGAACGGAGCGGAGGGCGAGCGGAGACCGAAGGGGGCGATCCCCGGTGCGCAAAGTGCCCAGGGTCCGCACCGGCCCGCTGCAGTCCCCTTGTCCTTCCCCGCTGCGCGGCACCGTGAGGGGAGGGGAGGGGAGCGGCGAGAGGGGAAGAGGGGGAGGGAAGGGGCAGAAGGGAGGGAGAGCAGTAGGGGGAGGGGGAGGGAAGAGAGGGGAGGAGGTGCCGCTGCCGCCTCCTCCTTCTCCTCCTCCTCCTCCTCCGCTGTGTAGTCCCTCACTCCCAAACCCCAGCCGAGCTGGGGGCGGCAGGTCTCTTGGCGGTTCAGGGACGGGGACTGTCCCCAGACTGGGAAGAGCATTGTGGCATAGCTACCAATGCAAGGGAGCGATGGGGGATGGGGGACGATGGCCCCAATAGAGAGGAGCCCCCCACGGAGTCGAGGCGGATGGGAAGGTAGCGAGAGCCCAGCGCTAGCCACGGGAGAAGCACAGGCCGGGAGGGCGCACAGCTATCCAAAGGGAGAGGAGCGCCGGGCGTAGTCGAGCCCTGGGAGGAAGGCAGAAGGGCGCATAGCGCTAACCTGCTTAGTTGGGAGGGGGTACTGAGAACGTAGAGTCCCGAGGCTGGCGGAGAGAGATGCAGAACTATCCTTGAGGGGAGGCTCAGTCCTGGCGCAGACCTAAACCGGTTAGCCGGGAGGCACAGTCTGGGCGCAGAGCTCGCCTTGACAGTGGGAGGCAGGAGACTTATCCCGGGAACATGCAGACCCTCCGCATCAATCCGGGTGGAGGCAGTCGTAGCATAGCGCAGGGCCAAGAGGAAGGCCCCAGAGTACAAAAATACCCCCTTTTTAGACATCACACGCCACCCCCTCCCATGCAAAAAGAAATATATCGTATCTTACCACTATGGTTCCCATCCTAAGAAAGAGCCTAGTATGGGGGCCTTGGTCTAGATTTCCCAGGTCCTATGGGCCTGGAACTGGCTGGGAACACCTGCATCCCTCGAATGCCCCGGGTTCCGTTCCAGATTCTCAGCTCAAATCCCACCTTCTGCGAGAGGCCTTTCCCACTCCACCTCATCTCCTGTCCGCTAGCGCCTTCCATCTGAAATTACCTTCCATTCACAGTGAATATGTCTTACATGTATATATATGCAGATTGCCTCCTCCATTAGACTGTGGGATCCTTAAGAGCAGGAAGTGCTTTTTTGCCTTTCTTTGTATCTCTAGTGCCAGTGTCTGGCACATAGTAAATGTCATGATAAACGCTACTTATTATTGGTGATGATGATGGCTATCATTGCAGCTTCCTAGAAAGGTCTCGAGACACTAAGTTTTATGTGAGAGGCAGTGGAGTAGAGGATGCTATGCAGGGACTTTGTATTATAAGCAGAAATTGATATTAATTATGGTTCATAAATAGAATGGGGTGGGGGGGAACGAGATTAATAATAATTCAGTCATGTACCACTTTAACCTTAAGTGTCTCCTGACTCCAGTACAGAGTGGTATAAGAAAAAGGCACTATTTAGAGTCAACACCTGAGTTTGAAAACCCGGCTTTTGGTTGACCTTGAGCAAGCCTCTTGATCTTGGTGGGAGTTAATTTCCTATGAGGATATTTAACTAGATGGTCTCCAAAGTCCTTTCCAACACGGGCATTTATACAGCGCTTTAAGGCTTGCAAATTCCTTAAGAAATGCCTCATTTGATCATCACAGCAATCCTGGGAAGTAGGTGCTATTGTTAGCATCTCCGTTTTATAAATGAGGAAACTGAGGCACTCAGAAGTTAAGTGACTTGCCCAGGGCTCCAAAGCTAGGAAGTATCTGAGCCTGGATCTGAACTCAGAGATTCCTGATTCTAAGTCCAGCACTCTGTCCACTGGGCCACCTTAGTCTCTCAACTTTGAACTTGCACTACTACAGGCTCCCCCAGAAATTCTATCTGGTGCCATTGTATGCACAAATACTCCAGATAGTTATGGCCTCAGTAGAGCCCTAAACTTTTTTTTTAACTATCATTCATATTAAAGCAAATTATAATTACTGGGCACATGGAAAGGGGTGATCATTATATTGGAGGGTGCAGATTTCTCCAAAACACCTAGTCTAATGAATGATTTCAAAGAGGACCTTGTAGCAGAAGTTCATTTATATTCAGTTATTTTTCTATTCATTAAATTGCACCTTCCCTGGTTAATTCACCCATAGGTGGGAAGTCAGAACTAAATATATATTTTTGAAAGCAAAATTCACCTTCCACATAGTCTCTAAAATCATGATTTGGACTAAAAATGCTATGGCCCAAGTAGATATGCAAAATTCTAACAAGAGCAAGGCAATGAAGCAGTTATCTTTGGCAGACAGTCCTGAAGACCACAGAAGAAGAAAAAAATAGGCAAAAAAACTGCCATGAAATTATGGGGGTACAATTTTTTGATTCTTGCTCTTAGGTACAATATTAGGTAGTTACAAGTTTGCAGGTATTACAGGTACTTTCAGCAACTGACTTCACAGACTTCTACCATATACTCAGTTTTCTGCTATAGTTTCTTTTTTCTCCCCCTTATTTTATAGTTTGAATTGCTTTGTTTTGCTCACTAGCCCAGGTGCCAACCCTGACTCTTAACTCCTTAGAATCCCTGCTCCCTCCTGTGTTCTCCATGTTCCTATTGATCTTGATCCTCTGAACCTTTCCAACCAGCACTTCAGGCCCTAGAAGGACCAGGAAAGGAAACAACCTTTCAGTAGCCTCATCTGAAGAAATGAGACTTCTTGCCAAGGTGGATACCAAATTTGAGACAGACCACCTAACTCTTAAATACCTACCTATAGCAACCAAGCCCTGAGGTTCACACCAGGGCAAATGATAATCAGGAAAGTGAACTCAGTAAATGAATCTTCCATTCCAGAACTTCAGAAAAACTCAGCAGAGGCCCACAGGTAATAGGAAAAGTGGTCCCTCCAGTGAAGAGAGCACCAGCACAACCAGAGCTGGGATATGCATAGCCTTCAAGCCTTGTGTCTGGAGGCAACACGAGCAGAAGGCATCTCTGACAAAGCTTCAGCGTGGTCAGAAAAATCCATGGTAGGGACCTTGGAAGTCCCAGGGAAGATAAGGACCAGCAGGCAGGACAATGACCAGCATGCAGGCCACAGTGCTCAGACTAGGATCACCCAACCCCAGGGGCTGTGACTAGCATGGTCTCAAGACAACAGAGAAAGTGCCAAAGATCCAGAACTCTGCACCTCAAAAATACAACCAGGTATCCCTAGAAGGTAGAGGTCATTGAAAAAACCTGTAGGACCCAGAATGAAACCACAGCACTTACTACCACACCCAAAAGTGCAGCAGGCAACAGAGCTTGGACTCAGCACAAAGCCTCAATTCAGTACCCGGCACATGGAAAGTTGGAGAGATGAGTAAATCAAAAATACCAAGCAGTAGCAAAAATTGTTGCAAGTCTAACTCCCTAACAACTGCAAGCAGAAACTGAAAGGGGGCAAAAAAAGATTTTCTCCAAAGACTATATGAATATCTAGAAAAGATAAAGTAAGAAAAAATGAAATAAAAATTTTTGAGGATAGAATGGTAAGAAAATAAGGAGCTTATGAAAGTTGTAAGTAAACTGTATCCCAAGAAATTAAATCCCTGAAAAGTAGAATTTACCAAACGAAAGTCAAAGGCAAACAAGAAATATTGGAACAAAATCAAAAGATTGAAAAAATAGAAGAAAATATAAGATATGTTATAAAAAACTACTTACCTGGAATGGATGAAGAAAAGATAATTTAAGAATCAATGAAAACAATGATTTTTTTCTTTAAAAAAAGAGTCTAGACACTACATTTCAAAAAAAACATGAATGAAAACTGCCTAGATTTATTAGAACCTGAGGGTGAAATAAAGATAGAAAGAATTCACTGATCACCTCCTGAAAGGAACCCTAAAAGGAAAAGTCTCAGGAGTGTCATAGCCAAAATATAGAGCTCCCAGGTCAAAGAAGAAAGTACTGCAAGCATCCAGAAAGAGGCAGCTCAAATACCAAGGAACTTTAGTCAAGATAACACAAGACCTGGAAGCTTCTAGAGAAGATATCTTGGAATACAGTATTCTAAAACGCAAAAGAAATAGGCTTGCAACCAAGAATAACTTACTCAGAAAAGCTGAATGTAATCCTCCAGGGAGATAAATAGACCTTTAAGAGAAAAGTAGACTTTTCTGATGAAAAACCAGAGCTGAATAGGCAATTTGAAATGCAAACACAAGAGTCCAAAGAAACCTAGAAAGCATATGAAGATAGAGACAATTTCAGAGAATCCTGGGTAGGATGCACCAATGAAATGGCAGGTGATTAGAACCAAGAAAACTATATGTACACTGACAACATTATAAAGAAAAACAACTGTGAAGGATTTAGAAACTAAGATAATGACCAACCATGTCTCTGGAGGACTTATGATGAAGCATGTTAAACCCATCTCCTGAGAGAGACACAAGGTATAGAAACACATTTTTTGACATGGCCCCTAGGTGCACTTATTTTGCTTGAGTATATTTACTTGTTGCAAGAGTTTGTTCATTTGTTTGTTTTTCCTTTTGGTTAATTGAGGAAGGCCATTTAGGAGGAGGGAGGCTTAGCAACAGCGGTTTCCCTTTCCTCCAAAAAGATGTCCATTATAACATTTTTTAAATGCATAGAAGAGAAGGAAGCACCAACAAGCAGGACAGTTTTGAAAGTAATGTGTAAAATTTGTCATGTGCTTTTTTTGAAACAAGATATATGAAATGGAGATTCATGATTTGATATAGAATTCTTTTTTGTATTCTTCTATGTGTATGGAAATGCTCTATTTTGGTGTTTAAGTTCAGAATACAGGCATTTAAAAAAAATAAAGGACAAGGTTTGGTTCCTTGTGGGCAGGTCGTTGTTTTTTGCTTGCATTTGTATTCCCGGTGCTTAGCACAATGCCTGGTACACAGGATGCAATAAATGCTCTCTCTTTACTCTCTCTTCTCTCCTCTCCTCTTCTGTGTGTGTGTGTGTGTGTGTGTGTGTGTGTGTGTGTGTGGTGTCTGTCTCTCTCATCCATCAACCTATATGTGCCTTGTTATAGTGGGAATTTGAAATGGGGCAAGTTGTAGGAAGAGGCAGGGG